GTAATTAAATGCCAATATATTGCAAATACAAAACTTATTATAATACACAAATTATAATAAAATATAAATTACTTTTGGCATACCTAGTAGATTCGCCTTTGAATGTTATTTTTAGTTAACATTGTAAATTATTTATTGCAAGCAATCTCTCCTTATTGTTTATATAAAATAAATTACAGAATAAAATTAATAAAAAAACTTATACGGATGCAAAAAATGAATTAATGTATGTTATCGCCTCCACCTTTTTTTCTAAATCGTTTCCCTACATGTGCGCATTGTGCGAATCCTCGTAGACCACGGCGTAGCGCTTCCGATTCAGTTGAGTGGCGCAAAGTGAAGTGAACATGGGGAGAGACGAAAAAGTGAATCATAAAATTATAGAATTATGCTGTCAATTTGCATGGCTCGGAATCCCTTTAGAAAGCTTTTATAACGGAGTGATCTTAACGTCGCATGTGCCATTATTATGAATACGAGGGTATATGATCATATGTATTTGGTAGAAGCGAAAACATATACTTGATGAAATTTAATAAAATGCCAAAAATATTTTCATGTGTGATATTTGGAATGGTTTTAAGTAAATTTTGAAAACATAAATACACTATTGCAATCGGATAGATGCACATTTACAAATAACTTACTACTGTAAACAGAGCTTTCAGCCAAATGAGACTAATAATAAGATAAATATGGAATGTGGTTGTAATATGAAGTAGAGCGAGATTTGAAGGTCCACGAGTAAAAAGGTTCAATGATTGAATACTTAAATAATCACAAACATTGATTTAGTTCGTTGATTTTTATTAAAAAATATGTATGTAATTAATTAAGGAGTAAAGTTAGGATTTTTTAACAACATTATTTTAAAGTAGAGGGAAAAAGATGTATAAATCAAGCAACGTCGCTATCAGGAGATAAAAGCCATTGTTCGAAAATCTATGACGAAAGTATTTTCTTTCGTTGTTAGTTTTTTGGTTATGAGCACTATTGTTTAGTTTACGAGACCTTAATAAAAATGAGATAGTAAGTAAGTTAAAATCAAGTTACATGTTAACATTATTTGTTTTATAACAGTTATTGTTAATTTTAAGTTATTTTCAATATATGTTTTATATACCTCTATAAGAGCTGCATGTGGCTGAGGTAAAATGGACCAACTGAGCTCCTACCATGGCAAAGGTGTAACAATAAGATAAAAAAAAGAAAAAGTAATATATTGTGAAAAATGACATGTTGACAAGAAATAAGTTGACATAATTGTTATTCCAACTCTGCTAATAAATATTTCTGACAAAATGCTAGATCAGGGTTATATGCAGTGTTATCTATGAAAAAAATGTACCCATGTCATTTATATTTTGCATTGTTGTATAATATAGTTATTACCTCCGCAAAAACTCTTTAAAATTCAAAATAAGACATTGGACCTGATGTCCCCCTGGCCGCCCTATTTTACTCCTCTTATGGATGAAAAAGGACCAGGTGACAAATTTTTGGAAAAGCATGAAATTTCTACAAGGGAGAATCAGCTTAAGGTCACCTTACTAAATAGCTTATTATTTTATTCTTACATTTTTCAGTAAGTATTTTCTTATTTATTGTCAATACTTGTGCTAAATGGTATTATTTGTCAAACGTATGATAATCAATAGTTTATTGACCTAGACCTTCATTAATATTTAAGGTATAATTTATGATTCTACTATAGATTATACACTTAATGATGCGGTTTTATCAAAACAAAATAATTTAGGTATTATATAAGTTTTTCATATTAATAGATAGATAATATAATGAACATGGTATATCTACTCATTGTTAGTAGTCTGAAAAATTGATCAGACTGATAAAACGAGAAAGAAAGTGTAGAAATCGATTAGGCACATTAATTGAAAAATACAATTTAATATATTTTTTACAAATGATAATTCACAACAAATACATAACGTTAATTTATTCTTTATATAGGTACTTATTAAAATCCCTCGACATTAAGATAATTTATACTGAATCAGTGGAACAAAAAGAATTATGCTTGCTATTTTTCAAAAGTAGTATAGAACTATTTGATTGAAAATTTATTTTGTATATAAATATGAGTATATATATATACAGCATTATATATAATTCAAATTTCGTATTTCGTAAAATCGCTGGTTGTTTGATTTTGCATTTGTCTCCTCAAACGTTGTTTATTTTGATATGTATATCCAAAATTAATTCATGGCAATGAAACCATTAAAATCACGTATTTAAATAACCAATGGAGTTATGTATTTGTTTATGATCAATTGATGATCATTGATATATGTGCTATTCAGATTAATATTATTGCATATTTGATGTTACGCGAATGGTATCCTGATCGATTTAGGACTTGGTCATTTCGAAAAAAATAGTAATCAGGCTGCTGTTTATTAAAGTTTAGTGTCAATCCTAATTTTCCAAAATTATCACATGTTATTTTACTATAAAATACTATTTCTGCTTTTGCCCTCCTGAAATAATATTGTCATTTCACAATCAATATTTTGGATACATTCCATCATGAAATATTTGCTTGATTATTATTAATACTCATAATCAATCAAATACATAAGCTTATTTATTTCAATTCAATTGTATAGAATTGTAAATAATGTATAAAAGCCTTTACGTTTGGGCAATTGATTTTCATAATTCGAATTGATACACCACGCGATATTAATTCAGATCCATCGTGAATACTATTTATTCTAATTATATAATTATACAAATGAAAATGATAATGTTATTTATTCTAAATTTTGATAGTGGTATATATGATGTTTAACAATAAATTTATTTGCAATAGCAGATCCATGAAATATTAATAAATAAACTTTTGAAATGATCATTTTATCACATTAACTAATAAATTAATAATATTAGTGCGATTTAGGAGGAAAGCCGTAGCTGTGAATCTTCAACATGCTAAAGTATATGTATAAATATATATTACAAATATCCTATAATCTGCAGTTAGTTTTTTATGACATGAGAAAATCGATTATGAGTAATGGAATACGTAACAGAATTCGAAGGAAGAGATTGTGCGACGTCCGCTGTGGGACGTGATCTTTTTAAAATGCAAACGAGATCGATACAGCGAATCTATCGACGATATATTTATATTTTAGTAAACATTCAAGGAGTAATCAAATAAACTCTATTTCGGAACGGATATTATTATAAGCGTTAAGCTGAAAACTGATGTAAACTATTTTATGATCAACGCGCACGCTATCTGTTTGAAGAGATAAATATATATTAATAATATAAAAACACCACGTTATTAATAATCTACCGCTTATATAGATCATTGGATAGAGGTTATGTAATTTCCTTGAAATTTTGGTAGAGAGATATTACATTAAGTCATGTGATAAATTATGCTATTTTGTTAGGAGATACTGGATTTTAAGGTTATAATTCGAATATGTATGCAATGATGCATTCGAAGTATTATGCATTAGGGTAGGGCGGGGTACAAAGGCTTGATTTGACTTTGAGCAATTATTTTGTAAAAACCGATCAAATAACACATATCAAACAAACAACTATCTGACTATGTTCAGCAAAACTCCCGTCCACTTATTTAGTACAAAATACTTTAATGCAGAGAGATTTCAAGAAATACTAATATATAGAATAATTAGCTTTGTTTAAAATAACTAATAATTAAATTTTTCTATTAATATGCTTAATCGATTACTGCACTATCTTTCCCGTTTTATCAGTCTGATCAATTTTTCAGACCACTGACAATGAGTAGATATACAATTTTCATTATATTATCTATTTATCAATATGAAAAACTTATACAATACCTAAATTATTTTGTTTTGTAATATAATAAAACCGGAGCATCATTAAATGTATGTTCTATAGTAGAATCATAAATTATACATTAAATATTAACGAAGGTCCAGGTCAATAAACTATTGATTATCGTACGTATGACAAATAATACCATTTAGCACAAGCATTGAAGATAAATAAGATAATATTTACTAATAATAAAAAGAAGAAAAAGTATAAAACAATGAGCTATTGAGACATTAATACGAAAGATTGCAGGTGTACTTATTGGTCTTTGTTTCAAAATTTTAATAATTTTTATAATTAAACAACTTCTCACTATAATATTTTAAACTTTTCGGTTTGGCTATCAACTATATTACCATGCAAAGTTTCATCAAAATGTTGTAAACCTTAGGTTCTCCCTGTTCGCATTTTATATACAATTTTATCCACAATTGTACATATCAATAGGCTATTGAATATCATACGAATGATAAATAACTTAACTTGATCAATCAAACATAACTTCCAAGTGATATGAGTATATGTTTAAATTGTTTTACTAGATAAACTTGTAATTAATTTTTATAATTGAAACCACTTCTTATAGTCCTATATATTTTAAATGTTTGGTTTGACTATCAACTCTATCACCATGCAAAGTTTCATCAATATACGAGAAGGGTAACCTGAGGTGCTCCTTCTTAGTGTTTTATATACGATTTTATATGCAATTGTGCATATCAATAAACTATTGATTATTAATATTGATTAATAAATTGATATTGTTAATTTTTTTCGTATTTTTAGCCGTTTAGCTTGTAGAGTCTGTGTGTATATTCAAATGTTGAAAGGCAAAGTACGGTTAGGTTTGAGCAACTATTTACACTATTCGATATTTTTATAGAAAAACTATACAAAATATTATATCGTTAGAAAGGTCTCAAAATTCTTAGTTTTTTTGTCATATATCGCAACCTCGTATTTTAAACGGTGTGGCTTACAGGCGAGTTGCCGCCGTAAAATTCAAGAGTAATTATTATATGAATGGCTAATATCATGAGACAAGGTAATGTTTTTATCTACAATTATATATATATATATATATATATATATATATATATATATATATAAACTGATAAGCAAATAATTTCTAATTTCCAATCACTGACCTGCAAGACGTCCGTACCGCTGGAACATTCGCTCGACGTCGGTTTTGCTGCACTGGAACGTGTTCAGGTTGCCGACGAAGACGCGCGAGCTCACGGCTTGCGGGTCCTGAGAATTCGTCTGATTACTAACTTTGCTCATCTTCATCGTGGCGGCACCGCTTTCTGAAATTGATAGAGGGGATATTGATAATATAGTGAAAATAAATATGTAAATTTGAATTAATAAATAAGAATAAATTCCTTTGAGTGTCTTATATATTTGAAACTTAAGTTTCAAACATTTTTTAAAGCTAAACATTTAAAACTCTTTTTGAATTGGAGTTCAAATTAAAACACTAAGCAATTTAATTTGAAATCTGGACATAATCTAATCGAAGAAAGTTCAATTATTTTGTTTGATTTAATATGTTATATAGTTTAATTTATAAAAAAGTTAAATATTTTTAATAACTCTAGATTTCTTCCCACGGTGTGATACTAAAATTGTTCCTTTTTCCTGTTTACTAAAGTTTTTTCTCTTTCATGTAAGAATATTTTATGGAATTTTATTGTATCTTGATTGCCAATATTATAGTCAAATAATTTTACAGTATCAATTACACGAGAAACTCAAAAGTACAGAAGCAATATAAAAGAAAATTTTAGAAAAACTTTAGATTCTAATAAAATCTAAAATTTTAGAATCTATAAATCAGTTTTCTTAGAAAAGGCAAGAACTACTTATATTTAATTTGAATTGTTTGATTTTCTTTTAAAAGAGTGACATATCATTATCAGTGACTTATTTCATAATTAAGAATAAATATTTCTTTTAATTTTATGCAGTTTATTCATTTTGTGAGTTTCCTTAGCCTTCCCGAAGATTAGCAAAGAAACTTTCACAAAAGCTCCTAGGCTTGCTTCGCTTCTGATTTCATCGTAAATGTCTATTTATTATTTTCATTTATTTTATTCTAATAAGCTTCAAGTTTTGGTTACTGTATTAACATTTTCATTGAATATTCACAATTGTTTTCCTAAAAAATTATGGACTTTATTTGATCCATTGCTCCATGCTCCAAAAATTGTATTCATACATGGACACACCCACACATCGATTTTTCTAAGGTATGCCAAAATGTTCAGACGCTATTTAAATTAAAGATATGCAACAATTTTCATTTTAGATTTTTGGCGATTCCTATAACTTACCCTACGGGAAGTAGGGTAGGAATTTTTTTTAAAATCAAAACTATGTGAATTCTGACAGAAAATTTAACAGTTTTTTACATAAATAACAAAAGCTCAAACTAAAAAACTATTGTAAAACAAATTGGAATGTAGTAACTAAGTTTTCTTATATATTTTGCTAGTTTCTCATAATATCTACTGGCTTAGCACCAAAAAAAATCTATCTATTGTACAATGTTTTTTATATTAAATAACAAATATTATCTACTAGTAAAAAAATATGTGTGAACTATGCTTGTAATTGGCAAAATAGATTTTTGATGTTAATTTATTAAAACTTGTAACTCATAAACTTATATGAAATATTTAAAAATCTGAAAATATTTTATTACTCTGGATAAAAATGTTAAAATGAGATTTACATTATATATTAGCACCAGCTGCAACATGCGAGACTAGATGCTGATCTAATGAAACTCACTTTCTAGTTTATTTCCTACATGTTTCGCATGGTGGCTACCTAATACTTTCCGTAGCTCGTTGATGGAACAATACTGTTCTCAGAACAGTTGCTCGTGTTTAGAATTTATTCTCACTTTTGTTTTTATTCTTATCGAACGAGGAGGAACTGATACGAATAACACAATACAAAATATCTGCGAGCTATAAGGACAGCTGGGAAAATACTACTTTTCTCGGCTTGGACTGAAATGGACACGACGCTTCATGCGATTTAAAAGCATTATTGAATTCGTACTACTATTGAGCGGTTTTGTTCCGAGAGATTACGGATACACATAATCCTGTATTTTTTTTAAATTAGATTTATTCGATTCTATCGGAATTGATTAAAGTTTTAATTGAAAAATCGCATTCTTTCAACGCAAGAATGATAGGAGTGGAGTAAATGAGGGAGAGGAAAAATAATGATAAAAATTATAGAAATTATTTAGAATCAAGAATTTTGGAATGTTAATTTTTAAGAACACTTTAAATTCTAAAAGAATTGTTTTTTAATGTTATCTCCTCAGCATAAAATTTTTGAAGGCAAATATTTATACCAATGTCAACTCTAAAACTACTATTATTTAATAATCTCAGACAAAACACAAATCCTTAAATAAACTAGTCGTGAGTACCATTTTGTCTTGTAGAAAAGTGCATGAACTTCCCGATAAGTGCAAAAAATTTTGTATAAAAGATTTTGTCAATATTTTTCTATTTATATACGATTTACCTATATATGTGTCTCACTGTCTGCCTATTCTCGTCTACTTATCTACCTATCTACCAGTCTGCCAGTCCATATGTTTACCTATCTTTCAGTCAATGTGTTCATCTGTCTACCTATCCACCTATATAATTACCCGCCTGTTTACCTGCCTACCTATCTACTTGTTGACCAGCTCATAAGTACATATATCAGCTTTTTTAATATTAATTTTACTTCAAATTGTCTTTCTGATAGCCATTTTTTATTTCATTATTATAAAACTCTACTAAAACTAAAACTTAATCATTTTAAGCTTTCGAAGAAAACTGAATTTTTGAAATTCAATCAAAAATCAAAATTATTTGTATTCTGATGAAAAATTCAACAGTTTTTTTTACATAAATGACAAAAACTTAAATTTAAAAAACATTGTGAAATAAGTTAGTATAAAAGAACTATTTTTGTTTATATATTCAAAAAATGTTGCTTTTTTCTCACAATATCTATTATACCACAATATCGATACCTGTTAACCTATCTTTAAGTCGATATGTTCACCTGTCTACCTATCCTATATATAATTGTGTAACTGTTTACCAGCCTACCTGTCTACTTGTTGACCAACTTACTATTGCATATATCAGTTCGTCAGTCTACCAGTGGATTTGTCTACATGTTATCTTGTTCTCTATTTTTTCTACCTGATTATCTGTTTACCTGTGTACCATTTAATACTGTTACTCTGCTTATCTATCTATTTTTTATTTTCTATTAGCATGTAATAAATAAAATATTTTGAAACTCGTGGACACAGTGAAAATTCGTAGATTCAACAGTTTAGGAGCAAATACTAAAACACAAAATTTAACTTAATAAATATTTTAGAAAATGTAATCAGATAAGGGGGTGTCCATTAATCACGTGATCGTTATTTTAAAGATATTTGGCCTCCCCCTCCCCCTTTGTGATACGAGGTGATATTCAAAATTACTACCCCCCACCAAACATCACGTGTATATTTACTTACGAGAAGAAATTGTAAAATTGTAGTATTTATTTTTAAATGTTTGGATTTTAAAAAAAAATAGGTAAAAAATAAATACACGTGATATCTTACTATACCCCTTCTTCACCCATGTGAAATTTCGTGATTTTTTTAAACCTCCCCTCCCGCAAAAAACCACACGTGATTAACGGACTCCTCCTAAGTAAAAATTAAAACAATCAATAACAATAATTTCACAGAATACTTAATATTGATTCTATATTCAAAGTTATTTATAAAGTCTATTATATTGAACCAACAATAACGAAACAATAACGAAACAATAACAAAATTATTCCCTCTATACCCTCCATAAGAATTCGACTGAACATGTTTTTTACACTGGAAAGATTTGGCCTAAAACTTTTTAACGGCGGCGCGCTCACATAATAAATCTTTCAGTAGCGCGCGTGTATTTCGCCGGCGCGGCCACGGGCGCATTTCGCAGGTGTAATTCGCCGGTGTAGAGCGCCGTTCGCCGTTCGCCAAAAGAGCTTATTAGACCTCCTCGATCCGGATAGCGGAGGATTTCTTGTGTAACAGGAAATAATCTGCAGTTCGCTGTTTCTGAGAGTACATGCTCATGCAATTGTGTTAACACAAATAAGAATGGAATAAATGAAAATATAAGATTAGATATGGAGTGAGAGTGGGGTTAGAGAATTCGAATTTCAAATCGGTAACCATAAATTAATACTATTAATTACTGTTTAATTTTTTTGTCTACATCTTCTCATATTGGGCTTTTCATTTTTTAGTTTATTTTATTAACTTTCCGTAGGGTAAGTTATAGTAATCGCAAAAAAATCGAAAATGAAAATTTCTATAATCTTTACGTTTCAAAACTTTCTGAACATTTTGGCATGCCTTAGAAAAAATGGATGTATGTGTGTTCTTCTTCTTATGTGCATGTATGTGTGTGTGTTCGGATACAATTTTTTGTTGACGATTTCGGGAACAGGTATCAACCGATTTGAATAATTTAAAAAACATTCGATTCGTATTGATAAGGAGACGTGCTTATTAGTTTTTGGCAATGACAAATCTAGCCGTTCCGAAGATACGGGGCAAAAAGTACCGAAAACGGCAACTCAGTTTTTAAGAGAACGGAGCGTCCGATTTTAATAATTCAAAAAATCTTTTACTTGTAATTGACAAGATAAAAAACTGATTTTCATGAGGGCAGGTCTAGCGGTTTCGGAGATCTAACAAAAAAAGTAAAAAAAATGCTATTTGGCGGTCAAAAATGATCATTAGACATATGCACATCAAATTATCAGATATTTTATAGAGATTTTAACAATAAGTATAAATTTTGTTTACATTCCTATAGGTTCCGTACCAATGTTTATCCGTTAGACAGCGACGCGACGCTTTGCACTTTATATTTTGTCTCTATGCAGTTAAAGCAGTACGATTGCTTTGAAAAAAAGTTCTGATGTACCAAAATATGTCAAAATTTTTCAAAAAAAAGTAATTTTTTGTCCAATTTTTAGTTTCTCCAAAATCTAATTTTTTCGAAGCAATTTTTTTTCAAAAATGTTATTCGTTTTTAAAAAAATAATTTTTGACACGGGAAGTTCCAGCAATTTGCCTTAAGGCACGATGCCATGCGCCCCACTAGTTATCTTATAACGATAATAGAAAAAACAAACAAAGTTGAATTATAAAACTATTCATTAACATATTTCTAATTTTTAGTTCAAAAACTTTTTTAATTATTTCAAACATGCT